CCCGGCTGGGGGGCAGGGGTTTTTGGGTGGGGGGCAAGGGGCGGTAGGGCTGGGGGGGCAGGGGCTTTGGGTGGGGGGCACAGGGCATCAGGACTGGGGGTGAGGGATTTTGGGTGGGGGGCAAGGGGCGCAAGCAGGGCATCCTGCCATGTACCCCTTGCCCTCATTTTGTTTTTCTGGCATGCTGGCACTCCAGCACCTTCCAAGGTAGGCATTGTGGTGTTTTTCTGCATTGCAGCCAAAAAATGTTGCCTACCCCTGTTGTAAGGGCTAATGTTCTTTATGGCTTGTAATCTATCCCCATAGGGGCTGCTGGTCTGCAGAGATGTGACATCCATAGTACCTAATATGGTGGTAAGTGGAAGTTTGTCAATGGAAGCCAGCATGCTTAGGAAATCTGTGGTATCTTTCAAATAGCTGGAAGCTCCTGTGGCATATGAGAATAGGACTGCATCAATATAGTCTGAAACTCCCTTAATGCTCTGTACAGCACGATGACTGTGAAACTCAAGTGCTGAGCTGGGCCTACTCACAAAAGTTAAAATACAAAATATTGATGACAATTGTATAGTGCAAGAGGATGTAAGTTTGAGGCTAGACCTTCTGAAAAGAAATGATGAGTTCCAGCTTATTTTACTATATTTATGATGATTTTACGCAGACTCCTATGTATCTGGTATGTAACTGTGTGAAATATCTATTCTTTATTAATTAGGATAGTAAATATTTATTTTCAATAAATCATGTTTATATGTAGGAAGAGATATTTTCCCTATGGGCTTTGATAGGTGTCTCGTCCTGATTTACTCTTGTTTTGCCTCAGTGGTTCCCTTGATCTTCCGAGGACAACTCTTCAGAAATGCTTTGTGTTTATCCTGGTCATTAATCCATTAATTCCTGATGTTTCAGCTCGTTAGAGATTGATAACCTCCTGTCACTGAATAAGGTAGTGACAGGAGGTTAAATTCAGTCAAAATTTGGCCTTTCTGCTAACAAATAATGAACAGTTGAAAACAGGACCTTCCTGTTGTTACTGCCTGGATTTTTCTTTTACTCAGCTACAAAAATGCTTTGAAAATGCTGAGCTAAAGGGTATAAAAGAGGAATGAAACAGCTAACAGGGTGTGCTTCAAGAATGAGAAATCATTCTGGCAAGAACTGCTACTGTGTTCAGCTGATCTTCTAGTGAACGGATCCATGCCTTGAGAAGCTGACAAGACTGAGACCGCCTCTTTGTCTGTATTGGTGTGTGTCACGGCGCAGGGTCCTGCAGGATGGCCATGATCTCCCCAAGGCCCCCTTACCGTGCCAAGATGGCCAAAGGGCACCCTCTATTCTCGCCCACTACGTCTTTATTGGTAAATATATATTAAGGAAGCTGCCTTTACATCTTCTTGGACACGGTTTTGCTGTACTCTGACCCCGTGGGCTCCTGGACCCCTTGTGGGTCCCATTCTGCAATGGGTGTTTTGGGGCACTGTAGCCTTATGGGCTATGCGTGGCTCCAACCACCCCTTCTCCACCCACCCTTTTACCATGCCCCAAGCCTCGCAGACGGTACTGACGTTGTTTGGTCTGGGCCTTGTTATAATTTAGCTCCCTTGTCCTCCGCAGCCCTGTTTCACGCTGCGCCTTCCTGGCGCTCGGGCTCTCCGCAGCCCTGTCTCATGCTGCGCCTTCCTGGTGCTCGGGCTCTCCGCAGCCCTGTCTCATACTGTGCCTTCCTGGTGCTTGGGCTCCCTGCAGCCCTGCAGAGTGCTGCGCCCTCTCTGGTGCCGGGGTTGGTGCACCCCAAATGCTGCGCCCCCTCTGGTGCCGGGGTCAATGTGCCCCCAAATGCTGCACCCCCTCTGGCACTGGGGTCAGTGCACCCCCAAATGCTGCGCCCCCTCTGGCGCCAGGGTCAGTGCACCCGCAAATGCTGCGCCGTCTCTGGTGCTGGGGTCCCCACACTTCAGTGGGTCCCCTACGAGGCCTCCTCCTTCCCCTAATAGTCTCACCCAAACCACCGGTGTTATACAATAATAAATGAAACACAAGCCCCTGAGCTGTAACATAAACTCAAGCTGCCTGGCTATAATGCCATTCAAACCCTACTGGGGAATACTCTATCCCACAACAGTATCAGGAGCTGCTCGTGCATTCAGGCCTCTCCCCTTTGCTTACTCAGGCAGAGCTCCTTCCCTCTTGGCTGCCAGCAGGGAACTGCCATCCTGGCCTCAGCCCTGGGGTTTATATGTAGGCCAGGCCCTTCCCCCTTCCGGTCAGCTGACCTCTGGCAGGTGTGGGCCACTAGCTCCCTCTGGTTGCCCTGGTAACCAGCAGCTGGGGCTCCCCC